AACATGGATGTGTATCTGAAGTACAGTATTTTAATTTTACATGTTTTCACATCAATATGTAAATGTACTTTAGTCTACATAATGTTCGACTCAATAATGTCAACTTGAATTCATACAAAGGACTTCATAAACCTCTGGGAAGGGGATGTGTTTTATAATGCTATTAAAAGTATTACGGGTAGAAAAGAGAAGAAGGAATTAAATTCGAGTACAGATAATCAAACTTTATTTTATTTTATTCCACAAAACCAAAGCCCGAAGGAAATTTCTTGATTTATAACCTCTCAAATTAATACATAAATCTGGACTCTATATAATAACTGAAGCTTACTATTACCATTCCCATGTAACATTAACCAGGAAGATAAAAACCAAACAGTCAAAGCAGATAACTCCAAGAATGCATCTCCAGACAGTAAAAACTGAAAAAGGCTCCAGATTCTCAGGCTAATCTTGTTTTGTCATCTGGTTACTTCGGGCTGATTCATCCCATCACCTCATCTATCAGGGCCTCCTCTCACCTCTTCCAACCAAAGCTATTTTCAACATTAGTCTTTTTGACAGTAGGAAAATGGAGAGATGCTTGTGCCCCAACTTAAAATATAGCCCAAGGAATTGTTGAAGTACAAGCACTCACTCTTTAAAAAAAAAAAGAAAGAAAGAAAGAAAGAAAAGAAAAGAAAAGAAATAGCTAAGCTCACACTTAGGAGAGAAAGTACAGTAACTCAAAAAAAAAAAAAAAAAGGTAAAAAACTAGAGCAAAGTAATCCAGGGATCTCTCTGGCCCAGGAAAAAAAAAAATCTCTCAAAATGATGTTTAAAATGTCATAGAGAGGGACAGAAAATAAAATCTAATGAATGAGGGGCGCCTGGGTGGCTCAGTTGTTGAGCGTCTCTGCCTTCGGCTCAGGTCATGATCCCGGGGTCCTGGGATCGAGCCCTCATCGGGCTCCCTGCTCGGCGGGAACCCTGCTTCTCCCTCTCCCACTCCCCCTGCTTGTGCTCTCTCTCTCTCACTGTGTCTCTCTCTGTCAAATAAATAAATAAATAAAAATCTTAAAAAAAAAAATCTAATGAATGAGGCCAAGAAAATAATTATAATCAATCCACTGGTCATCCATAATTCACAGTTAAGGTAACATTAACATTTTGTGTTTATTTAAAGAAATGGATGGAAAATTATAAATGTTAGGGGAAAATCTAAATGATAAAATAAGGCAAGGGGCCATCTGCCAACCTTTGGTATCCAGGAAGCCAAAGGGTTAATGCCCTTCTGAATTTTAAAAGTATACTAAAATACATCAATATTAATTGCCTGTAACCTGAGACCAAAACTTCAGGCATGCTTCCTTGCTCATAGTAACAAGAGCACCAACAAGTGTTTATTGAGGTTTTGCCATGGATCAGATACTGTTGTGAACACTGCAGAGAATACAGCATTGAAGGTGACAGACAAGGCTCTGTCCTTATGGAGCTATGAGCTGTCACAAAGAGGAATGATAAATATGGTTAGACCAGGGAACAAACCATGACTAATTCTCTGGTACAAAGAATCCTGCCTTATAAGGCAGAATCTTTCTTGCTGAATTGCAATTTTACAGAGACCTGAATCTTTTCCAGGAGAAGAAACTTTTTATATGTGTTTAATAGGTTTGCAGGCCTGGGCGCCTGGGTGGCTCAGTTGGTTAAGCGACTGCCTTCGGCTCAGGTCATGATCCTGGAGTCCCGGGATTGAGTCCCACATCGGGCTCCCTGCTCAGCAGGGAGTCTGCTTCTCCCTCTGACCCTCTTCCCTCTCATGCTCTCTGTCTCTCATTCTCTCTCTCGCAAATAAATAAAATCTTAAAAAAAAAAAATAGGTTTGGAGGCCTTTTAAGGGGTAGGATTGGAGATAAAAGGCAAATCCCATCAAGTCAGAGAAGAGTTGATGATGTTTTGACTCTTTGAACCCTGCCCACCCTAATCCACAACAATTCATCTGTGGCTTTGGTACAGAACTTGGTTAATACCACAAATTTCTAGGAAGCTCTGCTACATTTGGAAGCAAAATGGGAAGTAAACAAAATTTGTCTTTGCTATTCTCTGCCATCTCCCTCGTTTGCTATGTCTTCTTGTATTCCTTTCTTTTTTCCTACCTTTTTGTCTATTTTGAAATTTTTTTTTAATTCTTCAAAAATCAATGTTTTTGTTTACTATACTCTTTTTCCAGGTCTCATTCTTAATATCCCTTCAGGAAGCCAGCCTGGGGGTTAATAAAATGAAGAGTTCTAGGTACACAATATAAAACCAAGTACAGTTTAATTTCCCTCACTTGGTCCCTCTTATCATATCCCTACAAGTTCCTTCTCCTCTTTTTCCATCAGTCTTTGGTCCATGACTTTCTTTCTACTCTACCATCCTCTTTCCACTTCTCTCCACTTCCCCTTCCATCTTTTCCAAGTAGAAAAAAATGATTATTAGAATATAAGGAGAACTGGAGTTGTGTAATACAAAAGGACTGACAGTATGTTATGTGTACAGTTAAGTTCATTTCATAAGGATTTGTCCCTTTGAGTTTAAGACACTGCCTTGTGTGAATAAATTTCACTAGAACCATGGTTACTAAATATAAAACTCAGAAGATTGTGAAGATAAAGTTTTATGCATTTTCTTAGCTGTCTAAAGATATTATTTCAAAAATCCTTTTGTGTTTTTGTATATACTAAACAATTTGCATGAGAGAAAGAGAGGTGGAGAGAACCAGCCCTGTTTTGCCTCTCACCAGGTACCTACTTTCAAAGGTATTTTTTTATTATTATTTTTTTTATTATGTTATGTGAATCACCATACATTACATCATTAGTTTTTGATGTAGTATTCCATGATTCATTGTTTGCGTATAACACCCAGTGCTCCATTCAATACATGCCCTCTTTAATACCCATCACCAGGCTAACCCATCCCCCCACTCCTCTCCCCTCTAGAACCCTCAGTTTGTTTCTCAGAGTCCATAGTCTCTCATGGTTCATCTCAAAGGTATTTTTAAGCCCTGGGTCTGGCATGCCTAGACATCCTCACCTTCCTATCCCCCAGCCTGGCTCCCTGCAGGGGTACTGGGAATGAGACCTGGGAAACACCCAGGTCTGGAGTCAGACTGATTTAGATTTGAAGCCCATCTTTGTCTTATTAGCCCAGTGACCTTAGACAAGTTATTTAACTCTCTTAACCACTTTTTCACCTTAAAATGGTGCTCATAAAACCATCCCCATTGTATTGTTATAAACATTTGATGATCTGATCCATAAATGTATTAATCACAATATGTGGCATACAATTGCCATTTAATAAACAGTATATATGATTTATATATACCTAAGTGTACACACATTTACACCCCATGTGCCCATTTTTTCTTCACCCACATATGCAATTTACTTATCTGTCCTCAATGCCATTCAGGCAGAGTCCTGCCCTTCTGCCCTTGAAGCATTCACATTTTTCCAAATTCACAATTAGCTAATGCGAAAATCTAATCAATGGAAATGTGCTAACAAGAAAGGATGAGAGAAGAGGACAGTGACTACTGCCTGCCAACTCAAATATCTCTCACTGGTAAAATATGGCTCTTGGAAACAAAACTGTATTAAAAATTGCATAGGCCAGAGCAGTGACTTATGGTGTGAATTTTAAGTAGCACCATCTGGGAGATTCCTGTATTAGGTTTATGTAACCGTGACCACTTCCTTTACATGTGCTAATATGTAAGCCATCACTAATTTTAAAATAAATAAATAAAACTTAAATGGATATTATGTCCTTTTTCATATAAATTAAAGTACATGCAGAGATGCTCCATTTACCCCAGAACATCCTACAAAATAAATATAACTCGCAGGAAAATAGGGCAATGGGAAGGCTAAATGCCCATGTAATGTCGGTGATAAAGCAAAACCCAGAACACAATTCCCTTTCCAAGTCAATATTTCTAGACCTGACTTCATAAAGTGTAACTAAAAAAAGAAGCACAGCTTTGAAAACTTCATCCAAAAGATCAAAAATCTGTGAATTAGACAATCACAAGAGAGTCACACCTTTTGCCACACTAACAGGAAAGACTTAAATAATGGACTCAGTGGCTGGCCATGCGAGTCAGCCACTTAGTCATTTTTCTAGACACTATCCATCATTGAACACATTCCCGAATTTCATGCAACCTAATTTAAACTTCTATCTGGCTGTTCTGATCGGAATAAACATGCAATCAGGTAAAAGCTTGACAACCCTGACGCCTAGTGGCTGTGAGGAAATTGGTGAAGATCAGCTTGGGAAAATTAGCTAGCTAGTTACTGTGGCAGCATCTCACAAATATATAAAATTTAGTGATTACTAATATTTTTTTAAAAAATACTAATTCTGAAAGCAACTCTATAAAAGTCTATTTTTGTTCTGTACTTATTGAGAGGTCTATACAAGGAGGCTAAAAGCCTTGCATTTGTAAAGTATATTTTCCTTCCCCCTTACACATTTAGCAAAATTCCACTAATCTTCAGAGATCAAACAAGAAAACTAAAGGTTGATTCATACTTTGGCGTATTCGTGATTCTTTTCCTCAATTTTGTATGTACATCTATATCCTTTTCCTGGTCATCAGGTGATTTTTCTCAAGTATCCCCTTGTCAAATATAAAAGCCATCTGGCCAAGCCATCACAGAGGTTTCCTTTATGACATTGAGGCGTCCTTAGTCAAAGGGTAGTTATAGCTTCACAAACCAGCAGGAGTTTTCTTTAAGAGAGGTATAAGGACACATGTGGAGACCCCCAAACTGCACATCCAAAAGCAAGGGCCACAATGAATGCTTCAGGAAGCCATATGAACACAGCAGGTCTCACAGCACAGCACAACCTATTTCTGCCCTAAACATTAGAAGATAAGTCTCCCCAGACCCACTTAAACCTGACAGGCAGGATGGCAGGAAGCATAAAGTGTTATCTCCTCCACCAAGGAGAGTTCTTACTCCTACCTGCTGACGTTTGAAGGCTAAATAATCCAGATTTTCCAGCTCCTTCCCAAGCTTCTGGTAGGTTTTCTGGAGGTCAGATTTATTGGAAACATTTTTGAGAGACTCAAATGTTCTTTGAAACTGAAATTGAAAACAAAAGTAAATCATTAGGCTAGCAGGACATTTTTCTCAAATGCCTAACTATCTAAAACAGAGAAATAGTCCAGATTGAGCCTCAGTTTCTCTCATTCATAATCCAGAGAGAACAAATGCTAATTGTCTTTCAATGAAATAACAAAGACTGATTATAAAGAATTAGAAACTGTATCATAAGTATAACCAACATTATTGCATGAATGGGAAGCGTGTTTAGTCCTCATTCCAACAAAAGAGCATACCTCATTAAAAAAAAAAAACAAAACTGTGTTTTAGCATGTACTGCTACTTCTAACAAAAAAAAATTGTGATGAATGTATAATTTCAAATCATAATGAGGAAGTACTAAAGGAGCTCTCACATTCCAATCATGGAAACAAATATATATAAAGGTAGCTGCTTGCCTCTATAGAAATATCTATGCAAAATATACACCCCACAAACTTCAGCCAGGAAGATCTCTCAGATCTTATATTTTGAGAAGGAAAGAAAACTAACATTTTGGTGATCAAAGCATATGTAGCACGTTCAGCAAACATTTATTCATTTCTGCTCTATAACGCAGATGAGTTATAAAATCAGTTCTGCTGAATCAGAATGCTTCTTTTCATTTTTAAGTCAGATACTAGATAAACACAAAGGAGACAAATTGCAGTGGATCACAGAATACTGTTCTGCTGCTAATAATTAATTAAACAAAGGGAGCTCACAAGAAATTCAATTCTTGGTTTATTTTAGTAAATTAGAACATACTTTGGAAGATCAGTGATTGAAAATGTCAAGTAATGTTACTTGCAATGACATTTGCATTTGCTCTCTCTTCATGTCATTTATTTCCCGTATTCTCACTGCATGCCTTTAGACAGATTTCTACAGATAGAGACTTCACCATCTTAAACACACCAGAATTCCACGGACTATGACGCTATGAGACAGGCAAATAAGATTTTATAGAATATTATTAAGTTTCCAGGGAAATGATTTGACCTTACTATTCAAACTCTATGGAATAAGTCATATTATAATGGCATCCTACTGAATTAAATCCTCAATTTCATGAAAGCAACATGTTTATCTCAATCCAAGGTGACAGAGGAAAAAGAAATGGAAAATAACAGTGCTAAGCTTCCACAGCACTATAGCAAATTAAATTCAACAAATAATCTTTTAGAACCTACTATGCACAAGGTACTACTATGAATATTAAACATATTTCCTGCCCTAAAGGAACTTATAAATGACTCAGGAACTAGACATGAAACTCAGAAGTGGGAAAGACATTTACTGAGTGCCTGCTCAGTGCCAGATACTTTGTGCTTTCCAATTTAATCCTATTTCACTCCCCATTCTACAAGTGAGTGCACTGGGACTCAGAGTATAAACCGGGTTTTTACTACAATATTTGTGCTCTTTCTACTATACCACTAACTTTAACACAAGGTAAAGTAGTAAAGAGAATACAAAAAAAAAAAAAAGAGAGAGAGAGAGAAAAGCAACATGTGGTAAAACAGAAAAAAACTAGGTATAGCAATTGAGGGACTCAGGCCACATAGAACACATGAAGAGATCTGAATTGGGCTTCAAATGGAAGGACAAGTTCTCAGAGCCTTAAATGGGAACAAATTCTACCCATCAGTTTAAACAAAGTCTGCTCGGTTTCCCCATTTTATAGCATAGTAAACAAATTTCTCTTGACGTAATTGTAATGACTTTTATATTAACTAACGTGTTGTATGATCATTTCTGTGCCTTGCCTATTTCATGGTCCCTTCTCACTACATTCAAATCAAAATACCAAATCTAATATTCTAAACAATTTAAGTAATTTTACTGACAATATAAACTATTTTACCAATCAGTTTAATCCTAAGCACTTTATTTTCCCTAAAAAACATTAGCTCTACTTCTTAAATATTACTTCTTCACATTTATTTCTGCGAACTTTATATAGCTCCAAATAGGAATTTTAGGGTAAACACATTTATAAGTCTTAAAAATAAAAAAAACAGGGGCGCCTGGGTGTCTCAGCTGATTAAGTGACTGCCTTCAGCCCAGGTCATGATCTCAGGGTCCTGGGATCGAGCCCCACATCGGGCTCCCTGCTTGATGGGAAGCCTGCTTCTCCCTTCCTCACTCCCCCTGTTTGTGTTCCCTCTCTCGCTGTCTCTCTCTGTGTCAAATAAATAAATAAAATCTTAAAAATAAAATAAAATTAAGCTAAATTAAAATTAAAATTAAAAAAACATAAAAACCAAGCAATATGTCCATGGCCAAAGAAGAAAGGGAGACAACCCAGCAAGAATATATCACCACAAAATATTTCTATGAAAAATCAGTTTGTGTAAAGTGGAGACTTTAAAGTTTGAACTTTCATTATCAAGACTTACACTCTCCATTTATTGATACTAAATAGCTCAAAGTACTCAAACTATGATGATTCATTTATTTAAGTAGGTTTTTTTCCCATACAACAACAAATAATTGTCAAGGAGAGGTCATACAATATCTGTTAGTGTACTTTAGATTAGATCCCTATTAAACACACCCCATCTCTCTCTGCCCATATATATACTTAAAGATGCTAAAGAGTAAAAGCAATAATTTTACCTTGCAGATAAAGCTGACATGCAAAAGATAAAAATAAGACAGTGATTAAAATGAGGTTTAGATTTTACTTTTAAAAAATTAGATGTTGACTTTATTTGAGGATTTTTCATTCCAATAGGCCACTGTGCTTGATCACTGCAATAGACCTCTTGAGATTTTCTCATTAGTTCAGTGCATTGCAATTTCATTATGTTGACTATGTCTCAAAATAAATTCTCTCGCAGTTGAAGGTAAGTTGGGAAAGGAAACAGAATTAATTGAAGAGATTTTAACATTCCTAGATTTTACTTCTTCAAACTTTTGAGTGGAAATTTAAAATAAGCAAAGAAGCCCCAATAATTTGTCAAACATTAAATTTATCCTGTGTTAATATTTTTCCCTTACTACAAAATTCAAATGTAAGATAAAAAAGCCCAATGAATAAATCTGACTTCCAAACAAGCCTAGGAATGTTGTAAAACTGCCAAAACTGAATATCAAAATGGTCTCTGAACTGGGAAACAAATGCAAATTGTGTCCTATTTGATTACCTTATCAAACATCACAGGGCAGACAGGACAAAAATGAGAAGATGCAAACATTATCTCTAAGCCCAAAACTTGCCATTAAAGTAAGCATTGTAAACACTCCCAGTGTGTTTTCTCATAAAATTCTTTTCTGTTCAGATTTTGGTTCAAGATGGCAATGTAGGAAGGTCCTGAATTCACATCCTCCCATAGACACACTGAAACTATAGCTATATATGGAACAATTTCCTCTGGTAAAAAACCTAAAAACTGGCTGAACAACCACTTCACATCAAGCAAATGAGAGGTAAACCTCAAAGGCTGAGACACAATCTCATCATAAACCCCATCTCCAGCATGGCAACCCAAATTTGGGAGGAAACTCAAAACCCACAGCTATTCCCTGAGTATCAAAGGGTTTGTGCACCACATCAGGCATGCCAACATTTAAGACCAACACCTGAGAAAAGCCTAAAACAAATGGCTTTGAAGACCAATGGGGCTCATGCCCACAAGATCCACAGGGCTTTGGCAACCTGAGAAATGGCTCTTAAAGAGCTGTGTGCAGGAGCGCCTAGGTGGCTGAGTCATTAAAGCATCTGACTTGATTTCAGCTGAGGTCATGATCTCAGGATCATGAGATTGAGCCCCACAGTGGGCTGAGCACTCAGTGGGGACTCGAGATTCCATCTCTCCTCTCTCTCTCTCCCTCAAAATAAATTAATTAATCTTAAAAAAAAAAAAAAAGCACTGCATGCAGACTCACCCAGCACAGAAGCAGCCCTTTGAAGATTTATTTATTTGAGAGACAGCATTAAAAGGGGGAGAAACAGAGGGAAAGGGAGAGGGAGAGGGACAAGCAGACTCCCCACTGAGCGGGGAGCCCCACACGGGGCTCCATCCCAGGACCCCAAGACCATGACTTGGCCAAAGTCAGACACTTAACTGACTGAGCCACTCAACCGTCCCTTTTTCTTTTCTTTTCTTTTTTTTTAGATTTTATTTATTTATTTGAGAGAGTGACAGAAGCAGCTGCCCTTGAAAAGCATCCCAACTTTATGTGAAAAGACTCATTTGTCAATTTTACTTTATTTATATTTTAATTCCAGTATAGTTAACATAGGGTGTTATATTAATTTCAGGTAGACAATATAGTGATTCAAGAATTCTATGCATTACTCAGTGCTCATCAAGATAAGTGTACTCAGGGTGACTGGGTGGCAGAGTTGGGTAGAGCATCTGACTTGGTTTTGGCTCAGGTCATGATCTCATAGTCATGGAATCGAGCCCCACAACAGGCTCCACACTCAGCACAGTCTGCTTAAGATTCTCTCTCTCCCATCTCCCTCTGCCCCTCCCCGCTCTCTCACTCTCTCTCTCAAAATAAATAAAATCTTTACAATATCTATATCTAGATATAGATATAGATATAGATATAAGTGTACTCTTAATCTCCATCACCTATTTCACCCATTCCCCCACCCACCTCCCTCTGGTAACCATCAGTTTGCTCTCTATAGTTAAGAGTCTGTTTTTGGTTTTTCTCTTTTTTCCTTTGTTCGTTTGGTGTTTTTTTTTTTTAAGTTTTTATTTCAATTCCAGTTAACATAAAGTGTAATATTAGCTTAAGGTGTATAATATAGTGATTCAACAATTCCATACAACACCCGGTGCTCATCACAAGTGCACTCCTTCATCCCTTTCACCTATTTCACCCACCTGCCAACCCACCTCCCTTCTGGTAGCCATCAGTTTGTTCTCTATAGTTAAGAGTCTGTTTCTTGCATTACCTCTTTTTTTTTTTTCTTTCCCTCTGCTCGCTTGTTTTGTTTCTTAAATTCCACATATGAATGAAATCATATGGTACTTGTC